TCAATAGATCTTCAAAGACCCGCTCTGATACCACTTGTTGGGATTAAAACCCTAATTGAGATTTGATGAACAAGATGCAGAAAATAAGAACAAACACAAATATGAAGATTAGGTCGAATGATCACTCGATTTATTCAAATAAGAGGAATAAATTACACTTTCAGCATAGACTAAAGAATCTAACACTACATAAGAAACCTCACGTGGCGACTACATTTTGCCTCGCTCTTAACCCTAATAATGAATAATACATGACTATTTATAGGGAAAAGACAAGTCTTGGGATTTTAACCTACAATTCATCAAGAGGCCCATTGCCATCATCCATGGAGTGCTTTGAAACCCTACAAAAATGCTATTGGCTGCCCCATGCTCTGACATCCAAGTGTCATAGGCTACCCCCATGGTCATTCATATAAATGCCACGGGCTACCCTCGGGGTCTTCCAGGCAAGTATCACAAAGACAACTAGCATTCCACATAACAAATAATGGGTCGGTATTGGTGCCTTCAACCCATGGATATAGTGAGAAAACTCACCTCACAATCTGAAAGAATAGATGCATCGATCACTGCTCTAAAAGCAATCTCTACCGGTCACCTATACAATTAATAGGGTACCAGTGATGATGAGATTCATAGGATCATTGCTGCTGAGGTGGTCGCAACAATGAGGGAGGCAACCCGGAAGATGTTTTGGTCTATTAAGACCACACTGATTGAGTTGTTCAACAAGCTTTACGCTGCTGTCACTAAGGTTGCTGCTGCCAAAAACACTACAGTCGTTGCCGCTGTGAGACCGCATGGGGTGATTAGATACAATATCTGGAATTCAACAACATGAATCCCCTGGAGTTTGATGGGACCAAGGACTCGATGGCTGCGATGAGGTAGATTTCCGATGTTGAGGGATGCTTCTATACTTGTTCGTATCCGGAGGACCTGAAGGTTTGATTTGCACTGAACCTTCTTCGGTTGGAAGCGAAGGACTGGTGGAAGTTTGTGACTACTGGGTACTCTCCTTCGGAGCGGGCCACAGTGACATGGGAGCGGTTTTCTGAGATGTTTTGGGATAAGTATGTTCCTTTAGTGAAGAGAAAGAGCGGTCGGCTCAGGAGTACCTATCGCTTAGGCAAGCGACATAGTCGGTGACAAAGATCACCAAGATTTTCCATGAGAGATCGTTATATTTTCCACATTATGCTTCCTTAAAGCCGGTGTGGATGACCCGATACTTGAGTATGCTTAAGAAGGATATCAGAGAGTTTGTGACGAACACCCACTACTGTACGTTGGCTGAGCCGTAGTCTAATGCCAGGAGGAGGGTGATCGAATTGGAGACCGCATGGGGTGATTAGATACAGTACCTGGGATTCAACAACATGAATCCCACGGAGTTAATAAGGACCTGATAGCTGCGATGAGGTAAATTTCTGATGTTGAGGGATGCTTCTATACTTGTTCATATCCGGAGGACCTGAAGGTTTGATTTGCACTGAACCTTCTTCGCTTGGGAGCGAAAGACTGGTGGAAGTTTGTGACTACTGGGTACTCTCCTACGGAGCAGGCCACAATGACATGGGATCACTTTTTTGAGATGTTTCGGGATAAGTATGTTCCTTTAGTGAAGAGAAAGAGTGGTTGGATCAGGAGTACCTATCGCTCAGGCAAGCGACATAGTCGGTGACCGAGATCACCAGGATGTTCCATGAGAGATTCTTATATTTTCCACAGTATGCTTCCTCAAAGCCGGTGCGGATGACCCAGTACTTGAGTATGCTTAAGAAGGATACCAGAGAGTTTGTGACAAACACCTACTACTATACATTGGTTGAGTCGTAGTTTAATACCATGAGAAGGGAGATTAAGTTGGAGACTCAGGAGAGAGAGGGTGAGATGGAGAGATAGAGGAAGGAAAAGAGGCTTGTCCCAATGCAGCCGCGATTGGCAACTAAGCGGTTCAAACCTATGGATTTGAGATTAAGAGGTCAGAGGGGCCGCTCTTGTAGCAAGTGCGGTAAGGGTCATGAGGGGCCATGTTGGGCAGGGTCAGTTTGTTATATGTATGGCAAGGATGGGTATTTTGCAAAGGATTATCCTAAGGGTTTTCGTGTTTGCTTCAAATGCAATCATACAGGCCATATGAAGGCCGATAGCCCATTGCTTACCTTGAGATCAGTTCAGACTCCGGCTCCTGCGACTTTGCGCGTCATTGATAGACTTGGGGGGAAGGATGAGACCCTAAAGGCCCGATGTCAAGCTTTCCAGTTGACAACAGAGGAGGCAAAGGCAGTGCCACATGTCGTTACTGATATGTATTCATTTACTTTTCTGTCAATTTATATTTCATGTACACTTATCTCCATGCTTATGTAGGTACATTCCTATTGAATTCATTACCAACGTTAGTGTTGTTTGACTTAGGTGCGAGTTAATCTTTTGTGTCCTCTTCATTTAACAAGGATTTTCATGTTCCCCTTGGATCATTGGATTGACCTCTAGAGGCCGCCATCGTCGGTGACCACACAGTTACAACCTCAGATGTTTACTGTGACTGTATACTAGATATTTTTGGAGTGGGATTTCTGGTAGACCTTAACCCTATTCCGATGAGAGATGTATGTGTGATCACATGTATGGATTGGTTGAGTCGGTTCAGAGATTTGATCGAATGTGAGCGTCAGCTTGTGGTAGTTCGTACCCTAAGTGGGGGGAGATTCGAACATCTATAGGGAAGGCATTAGAGTTGATTCAGCCTTCTATTCGGCCGCCAAGGCTAGGTAGTATCTTCAGCATGGATGCTTAAGTTACCTTGCATATGTGATTGACACTCGAGAGGAGAATAAGAAGTCAGTTTCCGATGTCCCGTGGTGAGGAAATTCCCAGATGTTTTTCCAGATGATCTTCTAGGTGTGCCCCCTAAGAGGCAGGTGGAGTTTAGGATCGAACTAATCCCTGATGCTGCCCCGATTTTCAAGGCGCCATTTCGCCTTGTGCCGCCTGAGATGCAGGAGTTGTCATCACAACTCCAGAAATTGTTAGGCAAGGTATTTATTCGACCTAGCAGCTCGCCATGGGGAGCACTGATTCTTTTTGTCAAGAAGAAGGATGCGTCAGACCGGATACGTATTCATTACTAGTAGTTGAACAAGTTGACGGTGAAGAACGGTTACCCACTACCGAAGATTGATAACCTTTTTGACCGGTTGCAGGTTGGTTCTCCACGATCGGTTTGATTTCAGGCTACTGTCAGATGAGGGTTAAAGAGGATGACATTCAGAAGACTGCTTTTCATACTCGTTATGGTCATTACGAGTTTGTGGTTAGGCCCTTTGGGCTCACCAACACACCAGGGACATTCATGGATCTCATGAACCGAGTGTTCAGACCAATGGTGGATTATTCAATGATCGTTTTTATTGATGATATCTTGGTCTATTCTAAGACTAAGGAACAACATGAGGAGCACTTTTGCGAGATTCTAGGGGTTCTGTGAACAAAGAGGTTATACGCCAAGTCGTCTTTGAAGCGACTCACTGTCTATGAGTTTCAACAACAAATGAGGTGTGGGAGGTAGCGAAAGAGACAAATGGACATTTAAAGTTACATAATCGACTGAAGATGGCATTCAGACTGTGGTGGTGTATTATTCAAAACGGTGGTATCTGATTACGATTTTAGGTTTTAGATCACAAAGTAAGACTCAAGGGTTCACGTTGAAGAAGATGTGTGACATGATTCAACATCGGTAATTGCGCCAGGTTGCTAAAAATGATCAGATCGATGATGGTTTCACATTAATCTGATTCGATATCAATTACCTATTGCAACTTTCCAACAAATGCTAGCGATGCCTTCACTTGTCGTTTTTCAATTGACGAAAGCACTTAACGGTACAATTGGTGTTGTGAACTTGTCCTACCCTACGATGTCACAGAGTTAGGATTTGACACAATGGTAGTTTTTGGTGGGTAAGGTTTAGAAGGAGATGGTGTGCGTGGTGGTGTAATGCGCAAACCCCATTATGCCCTTGGGGTGTTTAATTCCATGTTGTGCAAGTAAAATTTGTCTGTTACACCATTTTTAATCTAACATGTTATATTAACAATCCAAGAGCTATAAGTGGGTTATATGGTTAGTCAATATGATTTGGTTATATTTTGAACTTCTCTTTCTCTCTCTCTCTCTCTCTCTTTCTATATATATATATATATATATATATATATATATATATATAATATATATATATACTATATTATTAAACATATTGCCTCTTTCTTGAAAATTAAGAGGTACAATATGTATTACCTCATGTACAATAATATTAAGCATATAACCAATCATATACGTATTACATACACTACACTGTATTACCTTACCCTAATCTCCTAAACATACAACAACCGCCATCAAACCAATTCTCATCCGTCACCACCAAAGATGCAGTCCACCTTTTCCGTCACACACAAGTATCCCTAACCCTAGAAAACTTAGATCAACCACGATCAACCAAGATTCTCGGGGAAGTTAAGGAAGATCATCAAGAAAGAAAAGAGAAAATACCAGATCAGAAAATCGAAACCCTCTTCTTTCCGTCTCCTTCCTAATCGCTTCAGAATCGATCAATACTCACCAAAGCAAACCAAATCTCTACCGTCTCTCTCTTGGCGTCGTTGCTGAATTTCTCAGCGCCTCCACCGTCGCCACCTGACCTCGGATGGTACGCCACAGGATCTTCGAAGAAGCACGGAAGTGAATGGGACCATGAGACGTCTTGGTGTTCATACGCTTACGGAGAGGCAGATCTCTTCAGTGCGCACGGTGGCGAGCGTCCACCACTACCTCCTTTGCGCAATACCTGATCCACGTCACCTGCCAAGCTTCCGCCTATGTCGTCGAAGTAACCAGATGGGCCACCGGACTGAAACTCAGCAGCGACTCCGTCGGAATCGAATACAACACACCGCAACATCGGAATCACACTTTTTGCCCTAGGAACCATGCAGGTATGCAAAAATTGATCATATTTTTCATAATTTCTTGTCGATCTTCTGTAAAATTCAAACTGATGTTAACAATTTTAAAGCAAGACATTTGCGTTTACCAGATTGATTACACATGTTAAGCTGATAGACTTGTAGGCTAAAGATCCATCTGTTAAACCTGTATAACATGTGCAAGTGTGTATCCATTGTAGCCGATAGACTTGCACATGAGAGTACGGACACATTACTGAGAACTAATCACATAACAGGTTTTGGAACAGGGAATGTTTGATAAAGAAAGGATTGGTAAATTGAAGAAGGGGGTTTTGATTGTTAACAATGCTCGAGGTGCTATTATGGATACACAAGCTGTTGTTGATGGGTGTAATAGTGGACACATTGGAGGTATGTTTTAACATTAATTCATGTCCCATGAATTCATGACCCTCAACTGATGATTTATTTTTGGTGTGTTTTAGGGTATAGTGGAGATGTTTGGTATCCCCAACCAGCTCCAAAGGATCATCCATGGAGATACATGCCAAATCAAGCAATGACACCTCACATTTCTGGAACAACTATTGATGCACATGTTTGTTTCTTCTCATTCAATTCTTGTGTGTATAATTGATATGATATGATATGATTATTAAGTGATTTATAATATGTTTGCAGTTGCGATATGCTGCTCGAGTGAAGGATATGTTGGATAATTATTTCAAGGGAGAAGAGTTTCCACCCCAACATTACATTGTGAAGGAGGGTGAGCTGGCAAGCTAGTACAGGTGAGCAACAAGAGAGAAAGATATTTGAGCAGGTAATGGTTTATGCCTGAAAGTACTTTTTGTTTTTTCTAATTATTAAATTACTGAGTTGGTTTATATATATTGGTTATAGGTACATTAATGATGCTACGGGTGCTATATATGGAATATTAAAGGAGGCATCACAGTTGCATGGAAATGCAAATAAGAAGAAAGACATGGAGATAAAGGATGAAGATGCTGAACTACTTCAGAACGTCTCCGATCGTGTGATAACAAAACAGATCCTAAGTGAAAAGCTTGCTCAGCATGTTGAACAAGTAAGCATATGTTTTGGTTAAATATTTATTTATAAAAAAATTAATGGAATAAAAGAATATAGTATTCCTTTACACATAAAGTGAAACCACTTGACATGATTTTGTAGTAAATAAATAAATAAATTATATTGCTATTTTTTGCATCTAGAAAAAAATGACGTTTATATAAAATCGATATGTTGCATGTTCTTTAGAATACAATATATTTCCAAAAATAAAATCGACAATTATTATATTCATTTTTAAATTGTTGAGTATATTTGTTAAGTTTCATATGATTTGAAATATTTTTGGTAGGGATTTCGATAGTTATTATATTCATTTTAAAATTTTTTAGTATATTTGTTAAGTTTGTAAGATTTTAAATATTTTTGGTATGGATTTTGACAACTATTATATTCATTTTTAAATTTTCAAGTATATTTGTTAATGTTAATATTCATGGTAAGATTTTAATTTGATTAATTTTGGAATGATTATCAATATCCAAAAATACATTATTTTCTATTCTTTAATAGATTATTCCACCTATAAATTTAATATATGTTCTTCATTTCTAACTCTCACAACACAATTCGACAGTTAGGGTTTTGGGACGTTTGGATCACTGATTTGGAATCGGGAAGACTGCTTCATTGCATTGCTTTTCTTGACATGAATTCAGGTTCTCTTTACTTTTTCTATCTTTTGTAAGTTCAAGTATCTATAATATTTTATTTCTCACTTCTTCTGTTCGAAGTGATAGACTTCTTTTGTTTCAAATGATAATCTTATTCTGTCTTCTATCTAAAGTGATAATCTTCTTCTTCTTTTGTCTCAAATAATACATGTATATAATATGTATATATGTGTGTATGTATTTGTTTGTGACATTGTATATATGTGTGGTTTGTATATGTATATGTATAAGTTGGGACATTGTGTGCTTCTGTTTTTGAGTTTGAGTGAATCATACATTCAATCGGAAAAAAAAATCAATATGTAGGACCTTTTTCTCATATTAACCATCAACTTTATTTTATATCTAAAATTTATGTTAATATCATAAATGACCATATGTATTAAGTTTTTTTGTAGGACTTTTTTCTGATATGTATTAAGTTTTTTCTATTAATTGATATTTCACCCTATCAAATAAGATTAAGACAATACAGACAAACTTAAGCCACCTTAGAGCATGGCGTTTTTATTGTGAATATAAATAAGATACAATATCAACTTTAGCTTTTATTTCTTTGTAATGTTTTTTGTTAGTTCTAATAAAATATTTCTCAATTTCAAAATAATAATAATAATAAGATAGTATGTTTAATGACAACATCAAATGTTTAAAATAGACTTGTGATTCTGTAGGATGTATCATCCTCCAACATTTTTGCCCATAAAATTGGACCTTAGTCGGACTTTAACTGGTTATAGGCCCAAATCAATTTTTTTTGTAAATGGAATAATATAGCGTTGTAAACATGGACGGAGACAGTAGGGGGCTGCCGGATGCTCTGCCCCCCTCAATCTCCTTTAAAACTTCAAACTATAAACTATAGTATACATAAATAATCAGGGTACGACAAATTTGAAGCCCACATTTGTTCTTATTTATTTATTCGTGTTAAGCCTTTCCCACTTCCGAGTGCCCTTCCCAATCTTTATTGAAATTTCAATTTCAGTTGTTATATATAGGGTCATGACTATCACTAAAATTAGGGCCCACAACTAAAATCATATTGACTTCAACCCATTTATTCTAATTACGATTTATCCTCATTTTAATATTATAATTCATCATTGATGGGTCTTTTAACTGTTGATAAACCGACATAGTAAGTAGTTCTTTTATTTTCATTCACAAATGTGGTTTCGCTTAACCAATATAATATGTAACTGCCAGTTATACAAAAAAAATTATTATCGTCCAAGATCTTTGTCGGACACAATATAAGCCCCTTATCCTCAAATCCTGGCTCCGCCCCTGGTTGTAAACCACCTCTAATAGTATTCTATTATCTAACATCTTCATATATCATATTCGATACACTTTCTGTTATGAGAGTAGTACATAAAAGTCTGATGCTTGCTTTGTTCATTTAATAAAAGCAAATACACTCCATTCATCTTTTCAATTTTTTTGCCTATAAAATTGGACCTTAGTCGGACTTTAAATGGTTATAGGCCCAAATCAATTTTTTTTTGTAAATGGACTAATATAACGTTGTAAACCACCTCTAATAGTATTCTATTATCTAACATCTTCATATATCATATTCGATACACTTTCTGTTATCAGAGTAGTACATAAAAGTCTGATGCTTGCTTTGTTCATTTAATAAAAGCAAATACACTCCATTCATCTTTTCAATTTTGTTCAGTCATTTTTTTTTTCACTTTGTGGTCCCAATTTTCGTAAGGATAAGTGGACTTTAACCCATAAAATGAGAAATGAAGGAAAACGAACAATTATCCAAAAAAAAGACTTCCATAGTTGCAACATGGCCATGTAATTGAAATTATAAGTTATTGTGCTATTAATATGACTATTAAAAATATTATAGCTAAACATAAATAAAAAACTTAATGAGATCTCATAACTAGATACTGTATGGATCATGACCTAAATTACTATCTACACAAGACCTTGTTCTTATTGATCGTCGATAGTGACGAGTATATTTTCGTACATAAAATATTTCTATATTAATTGAAAGATTTTTTTTTTATTTTTTGTAGAATCATGAACGGTCACATTTACGTTGATGCATTTTCATTGCTACTAAACTTCCATTTGTGGTATATTTTGACATCCGTTCGTGTGGATTTCATTTGGAGGGACATAAGAGCAAACAAACTCTTCATTGTTCTCATTGATCAAAATATATGTTTAAAAAATTATTTATATCTTATTTTCATTTTCATAATTTATCATAAGTATTCTGTTTATAAAAATATTACATTTTCTATTAGCGGTTGTTTCACAACAAATGATGCGTTTTATCATGGTTCTAAAAAACGCGCAATGGCGCGCCTCAAGGCGTGCCATGGCGCGAGGCGTGGTGTAGCCGTTACGAAAACATCCAAGATGGGTTTGTTAAGCGTGACGTCCAAATAACGTGTTAAGGCGCGCCTTATCGCGATATGACGCGAGTTTTTCCGAGGCGCAAGTTTTTTTGTTTTTTTTTTTATTTTTTTTTATCGGGCCTAAAATAATTTGGTTTTTGTTAGCTTTTTATATTAAATACTAATATAACACATCTAAAAACTTGATATACTTGATACAAATTAATAATTATATGATTTATCTCTTTTAATATATATAAAATAGTCACGCCTTGAAAAACGCCATGACTCGTCAAGGCTTGTCATGACTTAACTTTTACCTTGCCGCCAAGCCACGCCTCACGTTATTTAGAACCTTGTGTTTTATTTATGGAGGAAATCTATTGGGTGGTGTGTTCTCTTTAAACCATTTCCAAACCGAACCATCCTATGCTGAGTATCCGAGGTATCAAGAATACAGTTTATTACGTGGTGATTTGATGATTAGGATCAGCAATAACACACAGTTTAATCGTTTAGCCGATGCTATCATATCATGGTTTCCGATTTTTCCATTGGTTCCCTCGATAAAAAGTTTAGTAGAGGATCGGACAGAGAGAAAAATGATGATCGGTAAATTTAATAACTTATATATATTTTTAGCATTCTAAAGTTTTTAAAATAATAACAAGTTGTCCTTTTAATTATCGTTATTTTTAGATATTGTTGGAAAAATCATCAAAGGCAAGCGAAACTATTCCCGTTATTTTGGTTTACTGACGTTAACTTCGTTCACTTTATATCTCCAAGATGGGCCGTAAGTGTTTATTATTATTATTATTATTATTATTATTATTATTATTATTATTATTATTATTATTACACTAATACAAAACTAGATGACTTTGGAAATATTTGATTATAAATAGGGGGAGTATAATAAAGATGGAACTATATATAACCGACCGAACACGCCATCAAATTGTGAAGACTGTCTATGCGATAAAGAGAAAGTATATAATATTTGTTTCTCGGGTGAAATTGGTTCATTTGGATTCAAGTAAGTTTTTCTAGAAAATTATAATACTTGTAGTGATATTAAAATAACTAAATCAATACGTTTTAATAGTTTTTATCTTATTTTCAGTGAACATTTTGATATCAACCAAATTAAGCAACGTAGAGTTCCAACCGAGGATGCCGGAAGCATTTAACATCATAAATATGCCTAGAAGAATTTTTAATTCCGTGTGAGACATTTGGTGGTGTTTTTTTTGAAGTTTTGACAACTTTTACGAGTGCGTTGCTTTTATAGTTGATCTACATTAATGTTAGACATATTGTGGTGAATTTTTTCATGTGTGATTTATTTTTCTTGTGTTGGATTATGAATTGATATATAATAAATTTTGGATATCTATGGAAATTTTCTTTTAACTATGTATTAGTTTCTTCTATTGTGTTTTTGGATTACAAGTTTTTAATATAGTTGGTTATTTATTAAGGGTTGTGTTGCTTTCTGAAACACTTAAAAAATTAATGTTAAAATAAATTTTGATGATTTTTCTAACAACAAATTAGTTTCATGTGAGAATCTTTTGTTGAATTAATGAGCATGTATATAGTTGTTAATGTTCAGATCGGATATATGAAAAGTTTGTACTTTTAAAATTGTTAACGTTCATCCCATCATATCACACAAGGCTTTAAGCTTTTGGTATCGTACAATTGTTTCTTGTATTTTTTAGAGTATATTATTTATTGCACTTTTATTCGTGTGAAACACACACATACATGACTACTAAATCACATGGTCTACATTACAAAATGTTACATTCTTGATGATATAATATGTGCTTATTCTTAACATTTCCATTATAGTGTGCAATGAGGACCGTAGATAAGGGAAACGAAAACTGTGATGATTCCCAAAACCCGATAGATATAGAAAAAGGTACGTCGTTTATATGAGTATATATTTGCATTTATAATATATGACTATTTATCAAATTAACATATTTGTAGAAAATCGAAAAAGATACAATAGAAACTATTATGCACGAAAAAAGGAGAAAAAAAATGAGAAGGATAGCTAACAGTGAAGGTTGTAGTCAACCTACAACACTCACAAGTTGCACTACAATGGAGACAAACGAAACACATATCAATGAAGATTCCTTTGTGAGTGTTATAAGTGCAGCTCAGAGGACGAGTACTTATAATAAAGAATATTATCAACGAAGAAAGGAACGAACTATGATGACAAAAAGAAGAGTATACGCCTTTCAGGAGGATCCATATGATTTTGTTTACGAAAACATCCATATGGAACATCGTATATTAAAGGCTCAAAAACCTTGTGTTTATTGTGGAGCAAAGCGACTACAATATGAATTCCCTACCTTTTGTTGCATGAGTGGGAAGACAAAACTGGCATACTCCCCTATTCCCACAGAATTGCACCAACTCTTCACAAGGCAAGAGTAGCTAGAAGAAAGCTTCAGGTACAATATAAGGGCGTATAACTCAAACTTTTCTTTCGCATCAATGGGTGTAAAGGTGGATGAAGAATTGGCCAATATGACTTCTGGAGTTTACACTTATTGTGCGCACGTAACACTCTATCATAATATCGATCGGTTAATTTCAAGGGATGGAAAATC